TGAGCCAACATGGCTCAGCTTGGAAACTCTCCCTTTCCCCTCAGCATGGCTGGCTCAGAAATTCTGGGAGTTGAAGTCCACGAGTCATAAAAGAGCCAAGGTTGCCTACCTCTGATCTACCTCAACAGAAACTATTGAGCTTTGTAAAATCTGCCCTCTGTGTGTTTAGTATTTCAGTGAATACAACGTATATATAATTTATACAGGTAGTTCTCAACGTACGACAACCGAGCCCAAGATTTCTGTTGCTAAGTGAGACAGTTATTAAATGACTCCCCCCCCCTTTTACGACCTTTCTTGCCACAGTTGTTAAGCGAATCACTGCAGCTGGTAAGTTAGTAACACAGTTGTTAAGTGAATCTGGCTTCCCCACTGCCTCTACTCGTCGTAAGATTGCGAAAGGTGATCATGTGACCCCCCCTGACACTGCAACTGTCATAAATATGAGTCAGTTGCCAAGTGGTCAAATTTTGATTGTGACCATGGGGATTCTGCAACGGTCGTAAGTGTGAAAAATGATCGTAGCTCATATTTTTTTTCTTTGTTGCCGTAATTTTGAACGGTCACTAAATGCTCTGTTGTACGTCAAGGACTATCTGCATGGCCACATGTTATCTGAATGACAGTGCTGAGGACAAAGGCTTCTACTGACCACCCCATTGAAGAGAGAAGTTTTCTCTAAGAGCTGTTTTCATACTAGGATACTGAATCCACAGCAACATATTATTTTGTGCTAGGGAAGGAGGATGTAAGTCACCCTGTTTGTTCTTTGGATAATACAAACAGGAAATATCTCCCTTTGTGGGACTGGGACAGACTTCTTCTGAAGAAAAAAAAAGAATCAGAGAAAAAAAGATCCTCGTTCTGAAATGGCTCAAGACAGCTTCAAAGGAAAGCTTGGTCCAAGTTCCTTGTGACATGAAAGCACATCTGTGCAAAGGAAAACAGCATCAGGGCCCTAGAAAGTACTGCGCAAAAACAACCAAAGCCCAACAAATCACTTTAATATATCTGCACTGAGAAATAAAACGAGATCTCATTGACAATCATATTATCACACTCACGCCCCATCCGTAGATCAGGGCCACACAATCAAGTTTAGGACTCTCCACCTATTTTTCCTTTTAGCACGTTAAAAGTCACAATTTAGCAGTGACTGAGGGCAGATGGATGTGAGACTGTAAGATCTCAAGATCTTCCGGCTCTGTCCCTCAGTAAATCCCCATTAACATCATACCATGATGATCACCGGGCATGTCTCAAACATGGGGGGAGGCAAAGCAATCTGGGGTTCAGAGCAGAAAAGTCATGATTAAGCTGCATTTTTTAAATGTACTCACACATAGACTAGGCTGGTTAAGTGGTCACGAATTTGCAAGGGCTACATGGCTGTGCTAAGGTAATACCTTTTTTTAAAGTCAACATATTCATTTGAGGACAAGTGAAGAAATTATCTTATGACACTGAAATTCAACCACATACGTACATACACACACACACACACACATACACATACACATGGTTAATGGTTAATGGTTAATTTAATTTGTATACCGCCCTTCTCCCGTAGGACTCAGGGCGGTTCACAGCATATTAAAAACACAAATACAATATACAGGATACAAAAAAAAAATCATACAAAAATACACAAAATAACCCCACTAAAACCTAATTAAAAGCCAAATATTGATTGCTGTGTTCCCATTAAAATCACTTTCTAAAAACGTCCCTACCTAAAATTCCTACCTAAAATCCTCCCTAGGTCAGGCCCGCTTGCTGGAAAAGCCATGTCTTGAGGGCGCGGCGGAAAGTAAGGAGATCCGGAATCATCCGGATCTCGAGGGGGAGTTCGTTCCAGAGGGTGGGGGCACCCACAGAGAAGGCCCTCCCCCTGGGGGTCGCCAGCCTACATTGCTTGGCCGACGGCACCCTGAGGAGGCCCACTCTGTGGGAGCGTACCGGTCTGTGGGAGGGAATCTGTGGCAGAAGGCGGTCTCGGAGGTAACCAGGTCCAATGCCATGGAGCGCTTTAAAGGTGGT